CATTTTTAAAAACCAATTTTTGTTGAAGTTGTTTAGAAAAAAGCAAGCACATGCATCTTAGCGACATAAGGTTTAAATGGCCTGCCAGGACAGGGGTGGGATTTAAATACCCTTCGCGCCAGTCAAAGAGTTAACAATCCAAACGGCATCTTCAGTAACAAAACACATTACAATATAGAATTTAATTCATTTAATTTACTTTATTTTTTTATTTGTTTTCTTATACCATGGTTGTATAAATTATGCAAGTAAGTATGGTTTAGGCCTATTCTATGTGAATAGAGGAACTTGTTATGAAAGTGTGTTTTGGCTTTAATGCGAACTAGGACAACTAGTCTCACTGTATTTTTATTGTTTACTTTCTCCTTGCTCTACTGTCCTCTGGAAACCATGGTCTCCATTATGACATATGCCCATTCTTCTGTATTATTTACTTTTGCATCCCTCTCTTCACTTTCAGCTCCCATAAATCATTCTCTACATCTATCAGCCATTGCAATCTGGGACTTCCCAATTTTCTTCTAACTTCAGGCTTACTTTTAAAAAATTTTTATAGTTATTCTTGTTTCATCTGTTGTGATGACATGTCCCAACCACTCCAACCTTGTTCTTTTAATATACACTATGGTTACTAGATGATAAAACTTTTATGCCAGGATTTGAAAACAGAGGAAATGTGTTTTATATTCTTTCTGTAATCGTGTGTAATAAGTTCGAAGTGTCAAGGACTAAATATTTTGTGTATTCCTCTACAGGAACAATCCGAATCTGCTTCTTCATGAGTTGAAAGGCTTTCACGCACCAGGATTTATGTTAAAGAAGATCCGTGCCCATGCAAGTTATATGCGCACAGACCATCTTCTTGAATTACAGAAACCAGGACAACATGGTGATCTGTGTGACGGGACAGAAACAGGTTTTGCTGTGGTAAGTATGACGGGAACTTCGGTCATGAATTTGTCAGAATGTCTCTAGAAGTGATTTTAAATATTGCAGCCTGTTATTTTATGCCAACTTTTATTGTTTTATGTATCATGTTTCAAGATTGAGATACCGAAATATTTATAGTATGCCAGAGATGCACCACTTTTTTTTTACCCTGCTTGCAGTGCTTTTAATTAATGCTGTGACTTAAATGATCAGTTTTTAGTAAGGGTAAATATTGGGAGGCCATGTTATAGCTCTAGCGGTTAATCGCTGACTTCCCACTGCGGTGGCCCAGGTTCGATCCCGGGTCTGATCAAGTGGGATTTGTGGTGGACAAAATGGTGCTGGGGCAGGTTTTCTCTGAGTACTTTGGTTTCCCCTGCCAATCTTCATTCCACCAGTTGCTCCAAAATCACCCTCACCTATCATCTGGGGCTGATACAATACATATAAAAAACAAATGCTTGCTATTCTGCTGTTAGGTATGTTACAAAGAAGTTATGAATAGGAGCAGGAGATAGCAGCAATAAATAGCAGTGGAAGGTATGCTTGAGTTGGTAGCACAGTGGCCACTTTTGCGAAAAATTCTGACACCAGTTGTCATGTGTATTTGTGACTGTAGATGGGGTTTTGGATTGGATATTAGATGTATTGACTACTTACAGGTTGTAACTACAAATAACACTAATGCTGTTGATATTTCCACATGTTACAAAATCATGCTAAGTTTTATTCAGCCTACATTGTCTTCACTAGTAGTTGCCTGGTAATGACTTCTAACAGTTGCTATCCTCTGCTTCTGGGCTCAAGTCCTCTCTGAACGGTTGCTCCCGTTGCCCGCCTTATAACCCTTGAGCCCAGACCACCGTAGAAATTCCTGTTTCCAACAGTACCTCTATTGTTGCATGTCAGTTTGTTGCTGTGGAGATGTGTTTCTGATTGTTACCTAGTAACAGCTCTACATGGCACAGTACCTATAGATAGCTGCGCTGCTTAGTGGCTTAATGCATATTGTTATTCTGTCAATTCTGGTGTCTTTGTATAGGCCTACACAATTTATACATCTAAGAGCCACCTGCAAGAACAGTGAGCCAGAATAAAAAAAACACCTCGGTTGAGAAGTTTGCTTGTTTCTATCAACAAGAGGACGTTGAAAGCTCTGCATGTTAATAGTGTCCAGTTACTTTGAAGATCAGGAAAAGCTCAGTGTACCAATGCTAGGATATGTGGTGAGGAAGGAAAACAGGATAAATAAATAAAAGAGAGAGAAAATGAATGCAGAATAAAGGAGGGAATGAGATAATGGGAGAGAGGAATGAAAGAATGGGGTAAGAGAATTATTTTAAGTTGAAGGAGAGGGAGGAAGGAAAGGGGAAGTGAGCAACACTGTGGTGAACAAGCAGAAGGGATGAGAAAGCAATAAGGAAGAAAACAAAGAAGGAGAAAAAGGGAACGATGGAAAATAGTAACTGCAAGTAGTAATATAATGGAAGACATTCAGAGTGCCCTTAGTAACATTTTGGGTGCCATGGCAACCTGATGTCCAGAACATGTGCAGGGTTGGCTTAGTGTAAATGTAGTTGTCTTTCCAGAGCTGCCAGGTCATTGATAGGTATTTCTGGCAAACTTTACCTTCAGATTCACAGTGATGTTGAAAACTGCAACAGTTTCCGGTTGACATTTCAACACATTTTATACATGATGTGTATTTATTAGCTGTCTTGTAGTGCACTTAATCTTACATGTCACTTCACTACATGTTTCGGCATCACTGTTCCATCCTCAGGTGTGTTATTTACGTCAAGCTATTGCATTGCTCGCCATCGTGTCGTTTATGAAATTATCTAAAATGCACATTCTTCACTATCTATAATAAAATTTAAAATTTATATATATCAAAATTTGTTAATATCCATCATCTTACACGTCTTAACTCAAATTCATGTACTACTCCATTCTTCCACTATGGGAGTCATTCTTCCTATATTTTGTGTATATTGTGTATTGGCTCGCAGCCAGAAAAGGACACATCACAATACACAATGTACACAAAATATAGGAAGAACGACTCCCATAGTGGAAGAATGGAGTAGTACATGAATTTGAGTTAAGACGTGTAAGATGATGGATATTAACAAATTTTGATATATATAAATTTTAAATTTTATTATAGATAGTGAAGAATGTGCATTTTAGATAATTTCATAAACGACACGATGGCGAGCAATGCAATAGCTTGACGTAAATAACACACCTGAGGATGGCACAGTGATGCTGAAACATGTAGTGAAGTGACATGTAAGATTGAGTGCACTATAAGACAGCTAATAAATATACATCATGGACGAAAATCAGTGCAACAGGACGCTAAAATGCAACATTTTATACAAGTGAAATTTTAAAATAACTGTTTCTTACTGTGCAGATGCAAAGTAGGCTGGGACTTGCTGTTGACTGCATATCGTCTGCCATGACACCACCAGCTACTGTACTGGATTCAGGTATGTATGATGTTGCACTCAACCCCCACCATCAATTGATATTTATTGAAAGAGGAAGTTTAGGTTAGCACTAACACAGACTGGGCTGTGCCATAGATCACGTGGTTAGTCACTGGCCTCCCGCTGCAGTAGCCTGGGTTCGAGTGCAGGTCCGGTCATGTGGGATTTGTGGTGGACAGAGTTGCACTCTGGCAGGTTTTCTCTGAGTACTTTGGTTTCCCCTGCCAATTCTCATTCCACTGACTGCTCCACACTCATCATCCGGGGCTGGTACAAGAGGCAGTTAGTAGCCGATGTACAAAGTGTACTCATTGTCACCCCACCCCAAGATACTAGTCACCGCCTTCCCATTGAGGCAGCCTGAGTTTGATTCAAGGTCAAGTCATGTGGGATTTATAGTGGACAAAATGGCACTGGGGCAGGTTTCCTCCGAGCACTTCAGTTTCCTTTGCCAATTCTCATTCCACTGAATACACCATACTCATCTGTCATCCAGGGCTAGTACAATGGGCCAGTTAATGGCGGATGTACAAAGTGGACTCAGTCTCACCCCACCCCAAGAAATTAAAAAAGAAAACACATCAGTTTTGCTTGTGCTGTGGTAGTTATGTCCTACTGTATCTGTTGTGTACTTTCAACATTCAAAGTTTAATTTTCATTTCGTGCCTCCTGTTATGTGTTATTATATACATTTTCTTTATTAGAGTCTGTCACAACACAACAATACAAAGGTCAAGGCTAAAATTAACTTGGCTAGTTAATGTATTTATATATGCTGCTTGCTTGACTAGCATTAGCCAAGCTAATTTTAACCTTGAACTTTATATTGTTGTGTTGTGACGGAATCTAATAAAGAAATTGTATTCAAATTTTAGCTGTGACGTGTGTTGTAGCTTTTTCCAATCTCTTGGCATATGTTGCATTGGCTGGTCACCTTCAGGGTGAATGAGACAGGGGGAGGAAGTAGTCCACTGCAAATAAGAGCTTGGGCCCATAGTATGATACTGGGCAATGACAGCAATTCTGAAATGGGTTGAAATCCCTTAAATTTGATTTCAGCCCAGAGTTTTGAAGAGAAAACTTGCATGTACAAACTGGTGTTCTACAGAATGGCAAACTGCATAATGAACATTCAGAATCTTTTGCAGTGGAGTGAATTGAACAAGCTCTGTGATGTTCACAAGAATTGACTTAACAAAGTATCACAACACAAGATGACCAATGCATCAGCTCCAAATACCATAACGTTAAAGAATTTAACTTTTCCACAGTGCGTATGATATCCAGCATTGACGTTTTCAGGTAATACTGCAAAAATATTGTACAACATATGGAAAGAGAATACATACACTGCCTGGACCATGAAAATTTTAATGGTGAAGGAAATACTGCAGTGGTGAAACTTAATTTGTGAGATGTTGGGTTATTGCAGTGAACTGTCTTCTGGGAAGTGACACTATGCATCTTAAATTTGTTATTTAACGACACTGGCACAGCTGACACTACTCAGTGTGTCGATGATGGCATGATTAATAAATGTGGAGCAGTGGGTGGAATGGCAATTGGCTTAGGAAGCCAAAGTATTGGAGAAAACGTGCTTCAGGGCCGTTTTGTCTACCACAAATCCCACATGACCTGACCTTCGCCAAACCCAACTTACAGTGGTGGGAAGCCAGTAACCAATCGCCTGACCTTCAGAATTCCCTTACACCATGTAGTCTGGTAAAAGTCTGCTGACATTTTGGTGGGGAGAAATAAACCTTCACCTTCAGGGCTGAAGAGCAGGCTAAGCAAGTAAATTGCTCGGTGCTTAGTTTCCTTGACTCTATGAAACTTGTTACATTTTGCACTTTCTGTGTTCATATTAATATCAAAGTTGCTGTCCTTGCAGGTCCTCCAACGCCATCAGAAACTGCTCTGGACCTACTGGAATGCCCAACGACAATGACCATGTTAACTTCCCAGAATTCTGATGGGTCTCCATACATGAACTTACAAGAAGTTAGTCCTGATGGGTCCCATCACAACCTCCTGTCCCCCAGAAATTCTGCTGCCATCATAACTTCACACGGCCTCGTTTCCACATCACACCACAACCTGGTTACAGCATACACCCATGTAGACACTATGGGACTGCAAGCAGTAGCCTCTGGCACGACATCTATGTCAGCATCTCATGCCACACTGTCAGCCCTGTTGGCCGGCCAGATAGCGAGTGATAATTCACAGGAAGGGCTCGAGTAGCGGCACACATGTAAATTGTTATGAAGTTGTGCTGTGCCTTGAGAAAGATAGCAGAAGAGTTAAATTTACCCTCTTCCATACCCGAGGCTTAACTTTTGGACACTAAACAATAATTTGCATAATTCTTCAATGTATCAACTCTCATATCGCCAAGATAAGCAATTGGTGCCAAACTTAGGCATATGACCATATCGTGCCACACAAGAGCGTTTATTTTTAAAAGGACCGCATCTTTTAACTTATTGCATCAGCTGAAGAGAACAGTGAACTGTCTAGAAATATAAGATATTTTTGTTGTGGAGGAAATATGGAATACCATAGTCCAGAAACAGTTCAGTTGACCTGTTTTTCTAGAAGTGTTCATGATAAAGGTTGATTTGTACAAATTTTTAAATACCAAAGTCCAGATATAAGTGTACAAAGTGCTACTTGAAATTTGTCCTATTAAAAGTGTTCATGCCATGTTGTTATGTTTGATTCCTTCTGAAATCTCATGTCATCCATATGGTATAGTTTCAGGTAGAAGCAAAACTTACAGGTTGGAAAACTAGAAGCAAGACACCGATTTCAAGTTTTCAGAGTCAAAAGACTTGATTTGGAACATATTGTACAGGAATTGTGGCTGTAGTTCAGACATTCCAAAACACAACTGTGGTGTTCATGTCCATCTTGAAATGCTTTTATTTTTTACCCAGAAATGTTCAGTCTGGTTAGCTTTTACCAGCCACCATTGCATTGCATTATTGCACTGGCATGTGCATCCAGTCCAGCTGACCAAACATCGAATTTTCAATACTAATATAATTACTTTTAGGCTAAAATATGGCTGCCAGTCCAGTAGTTCTAGGAGACTTAAAATCTTTCATTCCTGGACAATAAAGGTTAATATATTTTTTTTTGGATTCTAAAGGGTTTTGACAGTGGCATATAACCCTTGGGATTACTGGGTTTTTGCAATTTTCCCGTTGTTAAAATATAAACCAAAATAATTAAAACAATGGATCTGTTTCCATCCTCAGGTGAGGGAGTGGGAGATACCTACCATGTTGGGTCCGTTAGCAAGAGCTAACATCAGTTAATGGACTGGTTGTGTTGTGTTTTTTTAGAATTTGGATGATGAATGAAGTCCAGAAACCCAGTAATCCTGAATATTTTTCTTTGTTTAAAATATATGTCATGTGGAGAAGTTGACATGAACAATGTAATCCACCAACATAATATGTTTTGTGTAAAATGATTTTTGTGTATAATCAAACTTCCTGTAAAGTAGGTTCTCAATGGTTCTGATGGTGTACTCATATAACACTCAGAATTACTGTGTTTTTTGACTTCATCCAATGTCTAATATTCTAAAAAAGTAAAAAAAAACAACAATTCAAAAACTGGGTCTGTTTCTGTCCTGATGGGAGGGAGGAGACGTCTACTTTGTTGGGTCTCTTAGAAAGAGCTTGTGCTGAGGTCCAGAATACATGGAGCCTAAATTCTGTAGCATGCAGATTAGGAAGAAGGAAAGACTCACCTTTGCTTGTAGATGTGTCACATTGTGATGCTTATTCTTTTAGAAACCAATCTTGCATTGTGTGAATTTTACAAGTGTAATCTAAAATTGTCTTCAAGCACACTGAAAGCTGGTGTAGTATTCTATGCAATTTTATTTTTAAGCCACAGGCATCTCCCATCGTATCTGATTCCATGTGAATCTTTTTTACTGCTTTTATTTGATTTTTATAATGAAGACTAATAAGATTAAATTGTTTGTCTAGAACAAAAGAATTATGATTTGTAAGTGGCCAAAGTGAATGGTATTAAAGTTAATTCAATTATATATTTGTCGGTGGAAAGTAAAATCGGTGTACTTAAATGAATATCGTACGTGAGCAAAATTTCTGAGTTACGTGACCACTCTTGGTGATGCAGTTATCAGTTAAACAGGGGCATGCCGATATCTTAAATGTGAATGACATTGTTATTTAGCTGCTCTGCCTGGTGAGGTTTACAGATTGATATTCATGACTACCCACATATTTAAAATATTTAGTTGATATCTTGAGAAATTTCTTCAGGTTCCATCATAGCATAACCTCAAATGAAATCAAACCTGCTTGATCAAGAGTGTAAACGTTTCACCTTGGTGCCACTAATGTTAATTGCATATTGCAGAATTCGACAATAACTTTTTTTTTATGAATTTGTCAAATTTGGGTTTTGGCAGATATTGAAGGTATACTGGATAACACTTTACATAAATGTATAAAGTCCATTTTTTTTATGTTTAAACTTTGTCGCCGATGTGTATAACATTACTGTAGCAATATGTGTATGTGGTCAAACTGATCAAGCGTTGCATTTTTTAATACCAGAGTCATTACCCTGAGTTAAACATATTGCCACCATCCCCATAGTACCAGGAGGTCTAAATCCCCTATTCCTGGGCTGTTAACTCTTACCCTAAAGTAAAATCTTGCCACCAGTCCTGTTCTACCGGTGGATTCATTCTCGCATTCATGGACAACAAAGCTTAAATAATGTTTCTTGATTTTATGCCAAAACATAATTTTTAATATTGTGTATTAGAATTTGTTTTGTTATTCAGTGTGCTATGCCATTTGTAAACAAAACACAGATTTGAGCCATAATACCAAAGATAAACTTCTCCAAATTTCATGTTAATATTAAAAATTATTAAATTTAGTTAAATCTTACCTAAAAATTAAAGAAAAAATAACAGAACCTAGTAATCACCCACTCTATGAAGTATTGTTCTTATGTACAAACTGATTGTCACTCATCTTGTCAAGAAATTCCTGCCTTTTCTGGAACCCCAGTGTACATTACTGTGTTCACAACAGCCCACCACTGGGCCCCAGTATGAACAACTTTCTCCAGCTCATGTCCTCACGTCCAGTACCCTTAAGATCCATTTTGGTACCCTTCCATCTGTGCCTTGGTAACATAAGTGGTCTCTTCCCCTTCACTTCTGCAGCTAAAATATTGCACTTATTTCTCATCTTCCCATGCATGCTACATGTCATGCCCATATCATCGTGTATTGTTTGATCACCTTAATGACATTTAGGATAGAGTACAAATTATGATGGTAATATACAATTCTTGTATTTTAATTTAAGGCTCTGAATTATCAGAATGGAAGATAAAAACTTCTGAATGGATGGTAGCAAGAATTCTGTGAATTCCATGCCCTGGCTCTTTTGTGAATGTAATCTGCATTTGTCACTATTGCCCCACCCCTCACATATTTTAAATGCATCACATTCCTTATGGATCTGTTACCCATTTTTATATTATGATTTTGTTCCGCATCTTGGTAGTAAGAAATGAACATATGCTTCGAAGAGCAGAATCTTCTGGGTTGCCATGCAGTGTACATCAGTAGAAACTGGGTGACAACCCTCCAGAATTTCAGTGATCTTCCACCAACCCAGATCATAATCATCATAAGCACAACTGTGAGAACCTCAGATCCAATGTATTCTTTGTTTTATGGACCAGCCTCCTTACTAGGAACTGATAAAAATTCTCTGCCTTATTTATAATTTTTATGTTCTCACAGGGTGACATGGATGGGTCACGTATTATGCGTGGGGGAACTGAGAAATTCTTACAAAATTTGAGCCAGAAAACTTTATTTCTCAGGTGACGTAAACATACTTGGAGGAATAGATTCTAAAGGGTTCTGACAGTGGTACATAATGCTCAGAATTACTGAGTTTTTGGACTTTGTCATCAAGTATTATAAGAACGTATTTTCTAGTTTTTAGAATACTGGGTGATGGACAGCTAAAAAAACTCAGTAATTCTAATACATGGAGGATAATATTGAAATTGATCTTACAGGAATAGATATTAAAAATGTTGATGATGCTACAGTCTTAGCAGTAGGCTGTTGTGAACACAGTGTGAGGACAGAAGGGAATTATGCGACTTGCTTAGCAGTGTTTATCATTTTAATGAGGACTGTGCCCTGGAGTTATGTATGTTGCCCAACATATTAACTTCACTGGTATCCACTAGAGGTTTATGTGATCCATTTAAAGTTTTTATGTGGCAAAAAGGTCTGTCACTAAAGAACTACTGCAAGTTGCATTGTTATCCCTGATTAAACAGTCTATTGATATATAAAAAATAGGTAAATTCTAAGTGGTTCTGATAATGATATATTACACTTCGGATTCCTGTGTTCCTGGACACTGTGGCCTTGTATTCCAAATGGAGTACAACATTTTGGAAAACTGGATCTGTTTGTGGACTGCCTCTGTGGTCTAGTGGTCAGAATTCCTGGCTACAGATCCAGAGGTCGGGTTCGATTCCCGGCACTACCATATTTTTTCTGAGAAGTAGTGGTTCTGGAACGGGGTCCACTCAGCATCGTGGTGATAATTGAGGAACTATTTCAAGGAAATAGCAGCTCCGGTCTAGAAAACTGAAATTAACGGCCGTGGGGATTTGTTGTGCTGACCACACGACACCCTCTATCCGCAAAAGTTGTCACTAAACTGTGCCGCTCAGTCAATATGGTTTGCTTGTGGACTGAAATTGTGGAGTTCCTTTGTTTTGGATCTGTTTGTGACCTTTGGTAAAGAGAAGTGGGAATGCACCGACTTGGTTGAGTCAGTCAGAGCTAATATGAACCAAAGTCAGTCAGCTATGTCTGAGTGTGCAACTAATTGTGTCTCGTTCTGTTTGGAATACTAGACAATGGATGAAGTCCAGCAACCTGGTAGTCATAAGTGAAATACAAAAGGGTACTGTTAGCCACAACGGTGTAGTATCTACATGCTATTCCGAAGTCAGTGATGATGTTACATATGTTATTTTCTGGATTAAGGAATATACATTTTATGTTGCACTGTTTGAAAAAGAATTACAATAGAGATTAAAATTACAGTGCTCAGGGATGTAATATCATGTAGATATGTGGTTTATATAGATTATATACAGTCAGTTCAATGGTGGAATGACAAATGATGAATTGGAAAGGATCTGGAAGGACATGGTCATGGTATAATCAAGATGCTCTCCCAGCATTTGCTTACAGGGAGTGAGGAAACCATAAATATCCTCAGTAAGGGTAGTTTGTGTCCTCACTGAGATTTGAACTGAGCAACTCCTGAACATGAGTTTAGAGTGTTGTTGCTACATCAGGCCATGTTGCCTGGCAGACAGGTACCAACATTTCAGAGAAACTTGCTGATTCTGTTAGGATAATCTTCCTCTTCTTGGAACATGAAGACAGAAGTCTTTTACAGAATGTTGGTACCTATCTGCCAGGCAATGCAGCAGATTCCTTCTGGTACCTACCTAGCTACCTACCAGATTACATGGCATCACACCCCGGGAGAAATAATTTTAACCTTAACTTTAATATTAGTCTTAATATTCACTGAAATCTCATATAATGAAGACGTTTCTTATAATAAAACTGCCTCACATATGAAGGAAGTTAGAAAGCTGTCATAGAATCTGGTTATTTTGATTAGTTCAGATAACTCAAGAAATAGGATGTTGTTCCATATAAAATACTTGAAGAGATATCTCACACCCAGAGTAATAAAACCATAACTCTGTGGTATTTGAAGCCCAGGTCACTTCTGGCATAGTGTAGTAAGGCAGTGTTAGTTACTGAGCTAGTGGACATGCATTTATATATACAGAACAAAACTAAAAGAGCTTTTCTGTAAAATGTTAGTTTCTTTGAGTTTTGGTGCTGTTATTCTGTGTGTGAGATATGAGGGACTGAATAGTCTACAAGTGGGAAAAATTAATAGAACCAAACTGTTGTTAGTTTTAGATTAGTGTCTAGAAGCTGGTTGCTGTTTGAGGATAAACGCAGAAGCAAATACTGACGTTATGTATTAGGGTAGTTTCTTATGGAAAAATCTTGACTGTTTTAGTAAGTTATTTGTTACAGTGTTTTGGGCTTACGAATTGTGATAACCTTCGATAATGAACACATTTATTTTTTTAACACTAGCTCATAGACTTGTAGAATTATTAGCTGGTTGTAAATAATCTTATTCTATTTTGCTATTTATTTGTAATGTAAATGCATGATAAGCTTATTTTTTTTGGAAAGTGTGAAACAGTGTTTGTTTGTTTATTAATTGTTGTAGAGTGTAAGTATTGTACCATTCTGTACTCTAAATATATTTGTTGAAGATTTTTGTAATTCTAGGATTATATTTTACAATATGTCATCCCTTTACCATCAATTATTATTCTAAAGAATAGGATAGTGAATCAATATTTTGCTTGAAACTCTGAGAACTGTTTTTGACTTCTCTTTAACTTATATATAGTCTACTACAAGTTAACCATTCTTCTTATATTTGTGAAATTGTTTAGAAATTGATATTGGAATTCTGTGTGCATCAAAATTATTCATTATAAGCCAAAGTAACCATTCTCTGCCCAGGATATGACCGCTCTCCTTCCATCATTATCACAGTATATGGCAGGCATGTCCAACGCGTCAATTGCGGGACGATTTTTGGTCGATCTCATAGGCCTATATGGAAATTATATGTGAAAATCATACGATAAATGATATAAACTCCGTCTTAAGTGCAAACAATATATTTTGTGTCTTTGATCTTGCTCCCTACACTACATGTTTCGGCCTCAGACGGCCATCATCAGGTGTATAACACTCACGTCGCTGTCACACTGCACCCAGTTCAAAATTTAACATCTAAAACACTCTCCCTGTCATTATCAACTTCTACTTCATTGATAGCTGTCCACCCGTAGATTACTTCACACACGTTAATT